TTACATACGTAATAAAATCTTAACATTTTCCTCTTCAATCCAACTTTTGATTATTCTATGATGTGATTAGATTCAATACGAATCAAGTTTCTAAATTCTAATGTTTAAATTAAATTAAGTTACAAATTGCTAATTCAACCCATTACTAGTGATTTAATTAACAACTTATAACCTAGTTTTTAGGATAAGTAATTTTTTTGAGATGGAAAATGATTAATTTAATTAGATAGGGTAAAAGACATTTAAAGAGAGTAGGTTGACCATGAACAGAGATGGTGCTGCTAAACAAAAGAAATATTGGGCCCCTCTAAAGCTTCTTTAGAGATTCAAGCGGATGAAAATGAAAAAAAATTAAATATTTGAAATAAATAAAAAATATTAGAAATTAAATCGTAATAGATATCAAATTTATAAAATAATTTAATAATTTATCATTTTTTGAACAAACTAAGTAGGAGTTGGGTTGATATGTACATCAAGATTCATGGGATATATACATGTAAAAAGCAGTATTATGCTTTATTTTCCCAAGAAAAGTTGACAGGTATAATATTTACTAATTGCTCTCTTTTCAACTTGGTCAATAAAATTGATGATTTTATTTATCTCTTTGGATATGTTTGCTAATACCACGTAAACATAATTATAAGATTATTTGAATTGGGCTGTAAATCCTTTGGACCAAATTTAATGGGTTTTACATTAATCTTTTTTTTTTTTATACAGTCAATGGAGCAATTAATGCTCTTGTAAATAATCAAATTGCTACAAATGGAAACTTTCAATGTTCTTTAGGATTATGTGTGTATATATACATACATATATATATATATATATATATTAATTTTGGAGAATTAACTCGATTATTAAGTCACAAAAGAAGTTCATATAATTATTATCCCCTTCAATGAGTGAGAAAATATGAGTCAATTTCGCCGTCTCTAATAAAGTCCTTTTTTTTTTTTTTTTTTTTTTTTTTTATTTCTATCACCAAGTCTCTATTTTCGAACCCTTCATTATGTGGCCTGAAGCCAGATGTTTTAATGAAAACAACATAAGGGTCTTATACATACTACATAATATAATATAATATAATATTATTTTTTTAAAAAGAATCTTGAAAAAGCTACGTTGATTTAATGATTTTGAAAAGTAAATTTTTGACGTTGAACTCACCTTTCCCTTTGAATGAATCCGTCAGTATTTGTTGGAGCCACCTTCGCTTTCGCAGTCTCCTTTTCTTTTGTTTTTTCTCCAAAATTGCAGTCAATTTGGACGACGACATAAAATCTATAATACCTCATATTTAATTTTTATATATCTTGATATGGTTTGATTCTAAAAATATTTTATATTATTTAAAAAATAATTTTATTATTTTATTTACATAAAAATTTATAATTCTATTAGTAATATATTTTTTATTTTTTATAATAATAATTTTTTTATTCATAATCATAAATTTATGTATATTTATCGAACACCTTAAATTTTATATATTTTTTTATTTTACTTTTTATTTTATATAATTGTGTGCATTATATACATATAACGAAAATAATATATGTATTTAAACTAAAATCTAACTTACTAAAACATTTTAATGTATTAATGTTAATTAATAATAATAATAATAATATATTATGTTTAAGAAATGTCATACATGTTTAAAGAAATGTTAAGATTAGTGTGGGAGATCAGCAACAACTCTTCTCACTGCTTCCTGGAAGACAGCCTCGTCCCATTCACCCTACACCCAAACATATAAAATATAATTAGTTGACGACTGCTTTTTACCTTTTTTTTCTTGTATAAAATATAATAATTATATTATTTTGATATATAAATTAGGTCTCTGATGGCCCATAACATATAAAATAATAGAAAAACATATATACCGGATCTTAATATATATAATATAATATGTAAATATACAAACATAACACATGGATATATATATATACACACACAATATGTTATGTCACCAAAATTATATCACTTATTAATTTCATCCCAAGTGTTTTGCCTACTAGAGATTATTGACACTGAGATTTTTTCTTTACTTATTTTGTTTTATAATTAACACATTTATTTTAATAATAAAAAGTGAAAAAAAAATACAAATATAAAGAATTTGAGTAGTATATATATTTAATAAAATGTAATATATAAAATTTGCATGTCTCTAGTATGACGGAATGCAAAAATGACCAATGAACAAAAACCTATTAGTTAAGGACTATACGTAATTATGATTTGTATAATTAAAATCTACATGTTAATTATATTTAATTTTTCAGATCTAAATTACAAAATCTAAAGACATACGAATTGAATATTTAAGTAACTAAAAATTATACAACAACTCTTGAAAAATTATAAGGTGCTCTACGTAACTGGTAAAAACTTCATCCTAATCATGGTTGGTTTATTTAAAATTATGGTTTCATAATTTTTTCAATAAAATTTAAAAATAAACCAATCATAGTTAAGAAATTTTTAAACTTGCGTGTTAATGGATCGAAGCGTATGATAATAATAACAATTAAAAAATATACATAATAATAATCATAATTAAAAAATATAAGCGAGGGTTAATTTGCATACCTCAATTTTGAGGGTGAAGTTGGCATGGGCAAAAGAAGTTTGTTCTGCAACCAAGGTTCTGGCTTCCATGGAAATTAAGCTCACATTGTTAAGTTGCTTCAAGAATTCCAATAAGCTTATCACCACTTCATCAATACCACATTCTCCTCTCACAATCACTCTCAACTCCATAACCCTATCTTGTGAAGTTGATTCAGAAGCATTTACCACTCTAACATTAACCCTTTCACTTACATTTCCTTCAATATCATCTTCATGGTCACCTTTACTTTCTTTCCCATGCAATAGCTGTGCCTCTAATTCCTGGTTTTTCTTCATAAGCTCCGCTATTTCACCTTTTAAACTCGTTATATGCTCCCTCGTGCTGCTAAGCACCGATGCTTTGTCTTTCTGTACATATATACATACATATATCTATATATGTTAAGTTATTTAGTACAAAATATGTTTAAATATTTGACTATGGTAATGATTATACCTTGGTTCCTGTAGAAGAAGCGATCTTAATGCCTGAAAGCTTTCATTGAGCTTCTCTCTTCTTTTCCTCTCTGATATCATATGGTGAAGCTGAGTTGTAGTGGGTCGGTTTGCTAGAATATGTTCACGTGCCAAAATATTTAACCTTTGATAATAAGAGATTGCTCGTTTAATCATGCTTGGTCTACGTGAACTGGCACCAATCATTTGAGATTTTGGGGATGTATTATATCTCTTGAAAGCACCGGTTTTGCGGTTTAATAATCCATGTTTATGGTAAGGCAAATTCTGGTTCTGTTGCGTTGAGGAAGAAGTAGAAGAACAAGGAGAGGTTAAGACGGCTAGAATAGCTCTTGTTATGGCATCTTCTTCATTCTCTCGGTTTGGTAAGTGAATGTTTGGGATTCGAGACAGCGTTTCCATGGTTGTTGTTGTTAATGCCTGCAATGGAGGAATATCAAGTGATGGTCTTTGGATGTTGAAGGTAAATGGAGAGTACTCTGATGGACTATCCAGTGATCTCAAGGTTGAAGAAGAAGATGACTTCTGTTCCTGACTTGTTGGATGAGGAAACTCTCCCAGTGGAAATTGCCGCAAAAAGTCATCTGGGAATAATTCTCTCATTCCCATTTCCATGTTAATCTATATCCCAATAACAAACGGATGTTGATTAATTAAATTACAACAGTTCAACAAAGACATATATATATATGTATATGTTCTGGAGATATATTTCTTACTTGTATAATGTTTGATATGCCTAACTCAATCTCCCCATTCTTGCACCCCATGAAAATTGCTGTCTGTGATTATAAAAGTTGACAAAAACAACCACCATTTAATTAATGATCAGTACTTGTGACATATGGGTTTAACCATTTATATATATATATATACATATATATTTATACTGTGATTGACAATTAATTTCCATATCAATATTTAACATATAAACTGATGAAACATACCTGAATCCTCGCTTCCTATAGCAAAAAGAAGAAGACAATATTATTTAGTTAGCCATGCATATATTAACAGTCTATATAAACAAACACAAATTACTTCATGATAATTATATAATTAAACGAATTGCAATATTAACTTAATTAATTATTACCTGGTAAAATTGCCGCTGCGTCCCACTTTGTGCCCGTCTTTTTATTTCCGCTCCTCTCAGCTCAATGAACGGATGATTGTTCCTGAAAGCCAGCCCTGGTACATGGCTGCTATACACACACACACACACACACATAAGAATGTGGGCAATTACCATATGCACCAAGGATCAATAAATTGTGGTAGATTTGCTACAACTAATAAATTAAACTTGGTAAAAAGAAAAAAAAAAATTGAAAAATCACATGCATACTCGTTCTCAAGATTGATTATGGATTGCCGATATTCACTGAAAAGATTCCGAGCTAAACTCCCAGAAGAAGTACTGGCCTGCTCATTTTCTTCATTGAAATATCCATCCAAGGGGATCAAACAGCTGTTGATTAACAATCATAAACATAAATTATAAGGAACCCGGTTCATGCATTTATATATAACAACAAAACATATATAAATTTCTTTTGAGCAAAATCTATCATAACATAATTGGAGGATAATCTAACTCAGGAAGGAACCTACCAAGATTCAGCTAAAAAGTGGTTAGTGAAAACATATATAAACTGAAATGCATGTGTGCATGAGAGATTTGTAGTAGAGAGTAGAGTACGTACTTCGTCCGGGGAACGTATGACCATAAGCAGAAGTAAGTACAGCCAAAGGAATTCATAAGCGTCCGGAAAAAATGGCGACGAGTCAGTTCATCGAGGAGGAAGGTGTCGTCCATGAGGTGGATGATCAAGTTGCAGAAGCTTATAAGCAAGCAGTACGAGAGACCCTTTATTCGTTCTTTCTGGATCTCTACAGTACTACTGCTACCCTCTTTGTTATTTATGTCATTTGATTATGCCTCTCCCCTTTTCCTCCTTTAATGGATTATTCTTCATAGGAAAAGTTTGATAGAGAGAAAAAAGTTAGTAATTAAGAAATAGTCAAGTGAGAAAGTTGCAAGCAAATAAACCAAGATTTATGCTTTAGGGTTTACAGCTAGATCTTGATATTTACAGAAGAAGGAGCTGAAAGTTGAGGATAGTTTAAAAGACAATATTCAAGTTCAGCCATGGGAAATTAAGATGATTAGGTTTAGGGTTTTGAGAGGTGATGGAAGAGTATGAGACAATACCAATATTAATTATGAGAAAATCAAAGGAAGAACAGAAAGACCAGTACTCCCAGAGGTAGAAAATTGACAGAGAGAGGAGAGACAACTGGTGCTATGTACTGGGGCAAGTATGATGAGCTGTGAAGAGAATTCTCTGTTGAATGGGAACTTGGAAAAGTATGAAAAGTGGGAAAGAATTTAAGAAAGAAAAATACAACTGGTCCAGAAAAAAAAAACAAAGGGCAATTGGCAAAGGGAAAAGAGAAAAGATAGAAAAAGGAAGCAGCCAAACAGAGACCAAAGGGGAAGGTGAGAAAAGTAATGGTCAAAGTCATCCCTCGCGGTGGTTTTGAAAAGGGTCAAGGAGGAAGGCAAGGTGTCTTTTTCATATTTTCTTTATTTTCTATTTATTTTTAGCGTAAATTATATCAATTTCTTCATAATTAATTTAATCATTTTCTTTATTGTCAATTTATTATTTATCAAATACCAATAATATATGGCAAGGGTCTCTAAATTAATTGTTGGTGGATTCTTTCCTTGAAAAAAAAATTGTTTGTATATTGAGCCCCAAAACTCAAAATCCATTTTTAAACATAGATATGTACTTTAAGATTTTTAAACTTACATATGTATTTTAAGCTTACATATTAAGCTTAAGCAAAAATATGCCCTTCAAAATGTACAACTTGATTTATGTTTTCTAAATTTTTAATTCTCTACAGCTGATGTAGTGTTAATAAAAAATTAAGAATACCATATATTATACACTATAGAGAAAATTTGCCAATGGTAATAGATAATTCACAACAATTTCATCAAGCAACTCATAAACATATATACACTACGTCTTGTGGGTTTGTCCAGTAGTTCATTGATTTTTAAAGAAATAAATTTTTGTCTAAAAATTAATACAAAATAAAAATTTCAAAGATCCTATCTCTTATCCCCTCGCATTAATGGGATACATTCTATTTTTGTTATAGTAATTGATGGAATATCTTATCTCTCAATCAGTTAATACTTGGTGATTAATGTTGTGTTAAATTTTTTAATCGATTATGTGGATTTAATGTAGGTCTCATTGTGCATAAAAGACTATTAATTTTATTGGGACCATTTAAAAGTGATTAGTTACGAATATTGGGTCTTAATGCATTTGGTAAAGTATGAATCTCTTTAATGTGTAGAGACCTAAATATTATTTCTGATTTTATGATAGATTAAATTAAAA